GGACATAGTGAGGTTACACGGGGTTCCAGTTTCTTTGATCGAGCGAGTATTTCTTGTGTCTGGTCGCTCGAGCGACCAATTCTTCGCTCGAGCGAGCCTGTCCAGTTTAATTAGACAGCAGCGGGGTTTTAATCAGTTTTCATCATCTTTTTAGATTCCAAACCCTAAGGTCCGACTTCTCTCTCACCCTACTCACCTTCTCTCTTAGATTTGATCCACTTAGGGTGTGTTTCTACCCTAGATCCTTCATTAAAAAGTGTGTGTGAGTCAAGGGCTTCGTTTTAATCTGAATTCTTGGTAGTTTGGAGCGCTTTGGAGTTTGGGTCTTCATCTCCATCTTCTCTTTTGGGGCTATTTCATCGAGGTAGGGATTTCCTACTCCATTCTATAAGTTTTGTTCTAAGTTTTGGTATTCTGATATGTTGGGGATACTTTGGTAATTTTGGGAAAAACCCTAGTGGTATTAATAAATTAATTTGGTTTGAGGGAATTTGGAAATATTGTTAAATTCATGGAATTGGGGATTTCATTGATTAAATGGCATAGTTGGATAATTTAGATCACTCGCCTATTGAATTGTTGATATATTTATTTTCAGTTTAGAAATAACTGTTTTGGGCTATCGGTGGGGGATAGCCTTGATTGTTGTAGACAATGCATGATGATTAGGCAAACTAAAACTAATCGATTGAGTATGCTATTGAATATAGCGATTCAAATGAATACAACGCTGCTATAAATTCAATCAACTGGTGTCAAGGCCTAAGACATAAACCTATAATACATAGATAGAGTTTTGATGTCGACTCCCTTCTCCTCTTAAGAGTAGGAAGTAATTCGAAGTGAAAAACGCAGTTAGCTCAGGGTAGCTTGAACTAAAACTCTTTCCTCTCACAGAGTCCGCACCGGTCTTCTGTTACCCTCACAAGCTCACGACACCACGATATCATGCAGAGAGCGTCTGCGTCTACTCTGCTTTTTCCGCCTCACGCCCTCCCGATTCATGTCTTGTCTAAACTAGGATATGCCTGTGAAGGGACCATAGACTCCCTCAATAAGTACGGTAGGTAGGATGAGCAATCTAGATTAGAACCATAAGACGTCAGATAGGTTGCTCTTTTTGGAATATTTCAGATGATCGAAAAAAAAATAGATATAAAGAAGAAAACATAGGATATTCAAACAATAAGGGTAATACCTAGGCCAATCCATAGAAGGGATGGGCCCCTTTGCTCAAACTTCCAGTTAACAGGACAGGGAGATCCTAGGGTCTATCCTAACAAAAAACAAAAAGGCCCCCAACTTTGGGATGCCTGCAAGCAGAAAGGCACCTTAGGGAAAAAATCACCCTTATTTTAGAGAGAGCTAACCGTTCCCGTAAGGGGGGCGGGGGCAAGTCCAGTACTTGATAATCAAGTGCTTTCTATCTATCTATCTTTCTATTGAGTGCTCTTTAGAGGTGCATAGCCTTGATCCCCTTTGTCAGATGTCGCAGCCACAAAGCCTGACTTGTAAAGTTATAATCTCTAGACCGTCTTTGTCCTTCTTAACCCTTATGGATTAAGATTAGGGCACATTGCCACTTTTATACCAAGCGTACCCTAGATAGGCTTTACTATCCCATGGAGTAGGAATGGCAGAGCGACCCAGAATTGGAATATGCCACCATAGCACTTCGTCTACTCTTCTTCTTGTGCAGTTTTGACAAAAAGTATATCCGTATGTCCACTATAGCTATTTGGAAGCGTTCTTACCCTTTCTTGTCTGGAATCAAACGAAAATTTGTTGAACCTGTGTAGTGGGTAGGGATACCCATTTATTAGCGGAAAACAAGAGTTAAAGCTCCTCGTGTGAGATTCACGTTCGTTTAGAGTTTTCTATTCTCCATTAGCAGCGGGAAAGGAATCTAATCTATCTGCCTAGGCTTTGGTAGATTTTCCCCCAACGCAATCCACAGAAATTCCACAAATCCCTTGGTGGAATAAGCGGACAACTCAGTAGCAGTGCGATTGGTTTTGAGGATGGATAAGTTTACTATAGGGTCATTATCATGAAAATGCCAACATATATCAAAATACCAACGAATATATTCCTATTACAGATAGGTAGTGCTATTTCTTTAAATGATTCTGATTGGTAATCTTCCTAACATGGATGTATATAATAAGTGCAGTCGATCTTTACGCGTGAACACCTATTCCGTAACCATAGAATATCTTTTGCTGCTAATCTCACATTGAGTTTCTCGCTGACGTACAAGTCCTATGGGTATAAATAGTGTGGCATACTCCCACACATATGACTTTCCAGCTCTGAACTAGTTCTCAAAGGCTTTCTACTACTTGAGAAAATGAGAATGTGCTTTTAGAAAAGACGAATGCAAGGTTTGAGGAGAAAACATAGACTGAGAAGTAGGAAAGCTGATAGATCCGATTCCAATCAAAGGTTTCAAAAAAAGCAGTGTTACGTAACAGCTTTACGTAACGGTTTGCATTCCGTTATGTTATCAATTCGGCGGTAGCCACAACGCTATTTACAACCCACTTTTTGCGTGTAACGGAATTCAAACGAGTAACGCCGTTTTCAGTGTTACAATAACGACTCGTTACACACCGTTACACACATTTAACAATTATTCTGAACAACTTTCTTTATTAAAAAAAAAAAAAACTACAAAAATATACATTATACACATGCTGCAATATTCTGAGTAGCTCAAAATAATTTTTGTTTTAATTTTTTATTAATCATTTCAGTTAATAATGGTAAAAAAAATATTTATAGTTTAGGAATTACGTCAAAAATAAATTTGTAAACATTAAAATCAATTATTCTTAAAATAAATAAAAAGAAGAAGCACAAATGGATTTAGACCATATAAGTCCATTAACTTATGAAATAAAATGAAAAAGCTTATTTATACTTGATTTAAAATATGAATATATTAGATCATACTTAAAAACTAACAAATAATTGATCAAAATCTAGTTTAAACTCCAATAAAATGTGATTTGTAAGAAAAAAATATGCATATTGTGGGTAAGTTTTTTTCAAATTTTTTTATGCCTGAAAAATTAAAAAAATTCCGGTTCCGGTTACCGCAACTGTTACCTACGGGCTTTACCACCCCAACCGCGACCGCACCACTGCAAAACCAGCTTTTCGAAACCTTGATTGCCAAGTGGATTGAAGAGAACTGTTTAGTTTGAGATTGCCTCCTGAGGGATGAAATTCTGGACGCTCATTTCCGAATAACAAATAATGTCCCACAATTACTATTGGACCATCAAAAAGCACATGATCATAATCATCTTTCTAGTTGGAAAGCCTTTACAAAAAGTAAATTCTGATCCTAGATCCACAACCTTCACATCTCCCATAGCTCCCACATCTGCTTTAAACAATCCACACATAAACGGAAAGCTAATGGACCCTTACCTAACAATTTCACAATCAGCGCATTTCGGCAAGAGTTACCAGTCTTTTTATGAGGAAAAACCAAAGAAAAGATAAATCAATAACACAGTTGTCTATCTTGGTCAAAAAGAGTAAGGGGGGAAAAAAAACCAACTCGGCAATCCCTTTAGGCATTAGTTTTTTGGGAGTTTTTTTTTTACTTTTTATCGACTTCAGTAATGATCAATATTTTTACTTTAGGGTTCACTAAACGAGACAATCCTTACAAAAAAATATAAAAAAAATAAAAAAGGAAAAAAGATTTTTTTTTTTTGAAATAAAAGTACCACTATGAGATTAAAAAACCAATGCATGTTTAGTACTTTTCAAAACAAAATTTGCCTAAAAAGTGGGTGTTTTTTGGGGGCTTCTTTAATGGACTTTAAATATAGTTATAAATGGCGGGCCAGGCTAGAATTACTCATGCTCAAGCCATCTCAGAAAGTAACGAGCTTAAAATCTAGACTCAACTCATGGGCCAAATATCTATCTCAAGCATAGACATGGGTTGGTCTGGTTGGGCCATCAAAGCCCATGACCACCCAGCCTAGATGGATTCAAAAGTACATAAAAAAATAACTCAAAGTAAAAAAAATTTTCAATAGAAAACAAAAAAAACCACCAAAAAAATGTCCAAACGTAAAACTAGGAAACTAGACTTGAG